TGGGATCGTTGTGTTCACTCCCAGGGGAACTACTTCGAGGGTGATGGATGAATTTAATACCTGAGATAAGTGTACGGGTTTTTATACACGCAGTCTGGAAACCTTTCGATCGCACCTCGTATTCAGTATGAGTCAATGGGTTAAACTACAAACCTTGAAGTTTGTAGAACTTACTTTGAGGTACCGTTTGAAGTGGTATGTATCTTTGTTATGCACTTCCTTAGCCGCTTTCTTGCAAAACAGCATGGCTTTCTGATATAAGAAGATATGCCTCTGCATGGGTTTGAGTCTTAATTCTCGAAGTAGGTCCTTTTTGCTGTCCATCCACACTGAGAATGAGCCTTGCATCAGCAGCTCACCTTGGTCACACAGTTCACCCTGCAGGAGAACAAGTTATATAAATCATGGAAAACTTTAAGACCCTTATGGCCAAACCTAGTGCTACAGTGCAGGAGAAGTGTATTCCAATGCGGCATAAATAAGTTTCTTCCTGTTTTGTGTACTATATGGTCTTTGATGTGTACTTACTTCTGATACAAACCTAACGACGGACGCCCTATGCACCAAGGAAGTAAAAGCAAGGATAGCCATGGCCAAGGCAGCTTTCGTCAAGAAGAGGATACTTCTCACTAGCAAGTTGGGCTTGGAGATGAAGGAGAAACTAGTGAAGTGTTACGTATGGAGTGTCGCGCTGTATGGAGCAGAGACTTGGACACTCAGGAAGAAGGAACAGAAATACCTGGAGAGTTTTGAAATGTGGTGTTGGAGAAGAATAGAGAAGATCAGGTGGACGAATCGAGTGACCAACGAAGAAGTATTGAGGAGAGTCAACGAGCAAAGAAGCATTCTGCAGGCGATTACACGAAGGAAAGCTAACTGGTTGGGATATATTATGAGAAGGAATTGATTAATGAGTGATATCACCGAAGGCCAGGTTGAAGGAAAGAGAGGACTAGGAAGAAGATTGATACAGCTAACCGACGACCTTAAACAAGGAAAGAAGATGACGTTCCAGGAATTAAAGCGAGAAGCCGAGAATAGGGACAACTGGAGAGCTCTTTTTGGGCAGAGCAATGGACCTGTCGTAAGACAGAACACTTAATAATAATAATAATAATACAAACCTAATGGAATTACAGATATTACACTTTACACAGTCAGATATTTGTGCTTTGTTCAATATTCAACAAAACAAAAAGGGTTCCAACAAAAGAAGTAAATTTTAAGACCTGCATTTTAAGCCTTTCTCTGTCTCATGAGCCCCCTTTTTAGAATACCTGTAAGTTCAATTAGGGCATCATCATGTAAAGTAAAGGATATATTTAACAATGATATTTTCAGAAAAATAATATATATGAATTATGTGCAAATCAATAATTGATATAATTATTGACTGATAACTTGCAATGGCAATAATTAATTACAAAAGCATAGTACATATTAGAGATCAATCAGAGTTAAATAATTTAACATCCTAACTAAAATATTTGATTTTGTTTCATTCCATGGGGTCTTATAATACGTATGTAAAATATATTATTGTTGAATGCAATGAATAAAAATTTCCTAGAATATTTTATGAGTATAAATCACAGGTAGAAGAGGAAAACTATGCAAAAGATGGAAAAATAAATTTCAAAAACCCTTGATATAAGAACAGTCTAGCATCACTAATCAATCCGTGAAATCGATGATATTAATACCAGTCCACCTATGCATATGCCAGTACTTGAAGGAAAGCACATATTAGGAAGACAATTCACCTGCACCTACTGCTAAGAACACCTCAACTACCTCATGTTTTAAGCAAAGACAATTTTACTTTTATATACACCAAGTAAACTATGAAACAATGTACGCTAAAATAATATACAGTAGGGCACCGCTTATACGGTGGGTTAGGGACCAGACCCCCGCCGTAAAGCGAAAATCGCCGAAAAGCGGATCTTTGCCTTATTTCACTTGCAAATGCATATCAAAGCCTACTAAGATGTTACACTATCATATCATTTAATATTTTAAATGTTAATTAATGTAATATTTTAATATTTAATAAGAACTTATTGTGATTAGACAGACAAGATTTAAACAATATATATCTATGAAACAAAATTGTTTACAGCCAAGCCAAGCCATGACAAAACATCAATAAATCTCATAGTGACATTTTACATAATTTTTATAATTTCTAATTTTGCTGCCTAACCAACTCACCCAGAAGCCTGTGATAGCAATCTGGTGCATACTATCATTTACACACTTGAGCACTACAAGCATGCAGTCTAGGGCTTCCTGCAGCTCCTTACAGCATTTCTTGTCAACACTGTATCGCAGCAAATCCTGCAATGAGCATTCATAAAATACAACAGAGTTCCAATCTGATGATGTTTCTGGGTAGTGATGACATGTGGGCTCATAGGTAAATATCAATGTTTCAAAGAAACGTACTTTCTCAATCTTCGAATTACGAGTCCGAATGGTGCCACAATGCGTAAGAACATAATCTTCACTACTGTGAGAACCTTAAATCTACAATTCCAATATGGTATGAGCTGCTTCATATGAGACACATGTTAAAAATAATTATGCTAATAACTCACTTGAAAATATTTAAGAAATTAATATATGAGAACAAAAATAACAAACATACTTGATTTTTGTGAGTTTGTGGTCATAAAAGTCTTCAGATTTCTCAGCACCTAACATTGTATTCT